TTGGGGGTATTTTTAAAATTTTTAATCAGTTTCCAGCCCCCTTCTCTACCTCATCCCCTCTCTTCTCCTCCACCACCCCTTGCCTCGGTCAACCCGGCCACCGTTCCACCTCCTTCGACACTGTTACTTGTCACTACCTTTTCCACTCCTCCATAACTTTCCTCTCTCCACCACCAAACTCCATCTCGCCACCCACCTGCTCCTTCTTCCCCCACCATTCTTTTTCCACTTCTACCTCCTCTCCTTTTCTCCCCTGTATCCCTTTCACCAGCATTTCTTTCCCACTACTCCTTTCCCTTCATTTTCCCCATCATATAAACAATCCGAATAAGCCCTTTCTAAATCATTCCTGACCGTCTCATCATTGCAAGAAAGAATTTGCAATAAGAAGAAAACTCTAGCATCCAATCACTGTCGCCATTTTCTTGCTGCAAAGGTGATCACCACTGGCATAACCGGCTTTAAAAGAATATGTTTCCCAAAGTTATTATAGTGTTATCTTTTATAAGCTATTTCCATCACATATTTAAGTCAATGACGGTACTGGTCAAGAGATTAGTATAGAAAGGATTGCACATTTGCTCAAGATATTGGTCTTTTTGTACAATGAATCATGGAAAGGAAGTATACGATTTTTAAGCAACCATGATGAGTCTGGTACACCTTGAAAAGAGATCATGAGGTTCCATTACATTACTTTGACGTTTGCCATGGTCCTGTTATGATTACCTTATAGATGATTTGAAATTCTAAACATGAAATTGATGAATTGGGTTTCTTAATTATGTGCTGCCTCTTTGACCCAAACTCCTGAGGGTGAGGGAGAAGCAAGGGGTGGTGAAAAAGGGGATGGGCGAGAGAAGTAGGAGCGAGATGTTGATGAAAAAAATAGGGGAAGAGGAGAAAAGGAGGAGGAGGGTGGGGGAGGAAGGAGGAGGTGGTTGGCGGATAGTGGAGTTTGATGGTTGATGGAGGAGATTGCCTTTGATGGTGGAAGGAGAACAGTACACAAAGTTTCCAAAATGCCCTTGTTTAATTATTAAATTAAGAGCCAAATCGCTTCTATGCGGTGGCACCGCCGCAGAGGACTTTAATTGGACCCAAAAATTAAGTTTATGTATCAAATTGGCTAAAAATAAAACTTATGGACTAAATTAGCTCTAGTAAAAATGTTTATGGACGAAATTGGCCATTTTTCCTAGAAAGTATTACAGTTTTAATCACAGGCGGCACGATGTAAGTTGGGATTAACCAATATAATATTTAAATAATTAATTCAGTGTCAACAATTTTGTTCCTATTCTAGATTCTAAATGTGGCCAATATACACCTTATGATTTCCCCGGTGAAAATGATACGTGCCTGTTTTGTCAACAAAGGCTTTAGAATCAACGCTGCCAAAATGAAAAATACAGGCAGCAATAATGCAACATCCCTTCAACTTCATTGCTTTGTTTTTTGTCCTATTCCTCGTTTATAGCTTACGTCAACAAAACGGCAAGAGATTCGAAACAGTTCAATGCTGTCAACACTTTGGAATTCATTATTTGTGAGACACTTCAGCTGATAGCCAAACTACTTTATTTAATTCTCAGTGATTATCACACTTGCATGATCTGACACTTTATTTAATTCTCAGTGATTATTTAAGTTTATCATACTTGTACTATTTATCAATTTGTGCAGATGTTGACGTTTGACCAACAATATTTGACCAGTACAACTTGGCAAAGACTATATGACATAGAAGTTGTGCTGGATAATTAAGATAACTAATTAAGAACTAACTCTTAAGAAAGTAACTTGTACCCTCATGAATATATGTAGTAAGTTTCTATAGTAATCCATATACCTACTGTATTAATATGTGTTTTTGTGAGTAGAAAAGGTCGTAAAGTAGTGCAAACTGCAAAGAGAGCAAGAGAGCCAAAGAATGGATCTACCCCTCAACTTCACTGCTTTCTTTCTGTTCATAGCCTTTGTTTTAACTTTGATCAAGGTATTGAAGAGATCAAAAACAGCCCAGAAACTACCACCATCTCCATGGAAACTACCTATTATAGGACATATGCATCATTTGTCAGGTTCTCCACCGCATCATGCTCTCAGAAAATTAGCTCAAAAATATGGACCTCTGATGCACATTCAGCTAGGTGAAATTTCTTCGATTGTGGTAACATCGCCCCGCTTAGCAAAAGAGATTATGAAAACTCATGATCTTGCCTTTGCAAATCGTGGAGAAACTCTAGCGGGAAAGATCATGTTGTATAATTGTTCGGACATCGCTTGCTGTCCATATGGTGATTACTGGAGACAAATGCGCAAAATATGCACCTTGGAACTCCTTAGTTCTAAAAGTGTCCGATCATGTGGATCTATTCGGCAAGAGGAGGCTTTGCATCTTGTCTCATCGATTAAGGCTCTGGCTAATGCTGGAAAATCAATTGATGTAACGGAAAAGATGTCTTCATACGCAAGTGCGGTTCTCTACAGAGCAGCATTCGGCAAAGTAAGCAATGACGATCATTTTGCATTCTTTCAGCTAATCAAGGAATCATCTTCCATAGCAAGTGCCTTCGATGTTTCTGATCTGTTACCATCGTTCAAGATTCTTCATCCCTTCCTTTCGGTGAAGAATAAAATGCTAAATATCCGCTATAAGCTAGATAAAGTTCTGGACAAAATAATTGATCAGCATATGGACAACTTAGCAAGAACAAAAATAGCAACAGGTGCATCGGACAATGAAGACATAATTGATGTCCTGCTAAGAGTTAAAGAAAGCGGTGAGCTTCAAATCCCACTTACCAAGGACAATATCAAAGCTGTTCTTTCTGTGAGTGTTTAACCAATTTTTTGCTTACTACTACCATTACATCGTTAGTCTCTTACAAATAATTTTGGCATTGACTTTGATGCAGGATGTGTTTGCAGGGGGAACTGAAACTTCATCCACAACGGTGGAGTGGGCGATGTCCGAGATGATCAGAAATCCAGGTGTAATGGCTAAGGCACAGAGTGAAATAAGGAATGCTTTTAGAGGAAAAAACACGATTGAAGAAACTGATATTCAACGACTGCAATACCTAAGGTCAGTGATCAAAGAAACTTTGAGGCTACACCCTCCAATCCCTTTGTTGATTCCAAGAGAGTGTAGGGAGGAATGTGAAATCGATGGATATATTATCCCCGTCAAAACAAGAGTCTTGGTTAATGCTTGGGCAATCGGAAGAGACCCCGAGTATTGGGATGATGCAGAATCTTTCAAACCAGAGAGATTTGAAAACAGCTCCATTGATTTCAATGGAAGTCACTTTGAGTATCTACCATTTGGTGCAGGAAGGAGAATTTGCCCGGGAATTGCATTTGGTTTGGCCAATGTTGAGCTTCCTTTAGCTCTTTTGCTTTACCATTTTGACTGGAGACTTCCAAATGGCCTTGATTCTAACGATTTAGACATGACAGAGACTGTTGTAATAACTGCATCAAGAGCAAACAATCTTCGCTTGCTGGCAACCATATATGATCCATGATCCATCCCCTGATTTGACAAACCAATCAATGTAAACAAAGTAAGGCATACATTTGATTGGTAATATCTACAGATCGTGGCATTTGGTTGACTACATGTAGGTTCAACCTCAAGGTCTATCTTTACAACCATGGTATGATAATCATCTTTCTGACAGTATTGTGATCCTTTTTGCCTTGCGCATTGCAATAATATTTTATTTTTTATTTTTTCCAAAGTTGCAAATTTGATGAGTTAGAAAGCTCAAACTTGGGTGAAGTACCAGCAATTACGACAAAATCCACACACTCTTCTACAAGTAAAAGCAATACCTAACTACATACAAAAGTCAAACAAAAGACACATACATTTCAAGGGTTAATTTAGACCATAACCAACTTAATTAGCTCAGTTGGCCACCAGAGGATGGACCAAGTCTTTCCCTAGGCATAGGTTAGGGGATTGAACCCTCCTGATTGCGTTTTCTCTCCAGAATCTCTTGGAGTACGGACGAGTGTTATTTAGCTCCTTTGAACTTCTCAATAGATTAGATAGGTCTATCTCTAACCCCTTTCCCCGAGTATAGAATCAATTGTAATAATGTTGTACTGAAAAAAAAAAAAAAACTTAGACCATATGCATGTCCGAATGAAGTAACAGTATATCATGTAATAATTTCATTTTCATTCTTTTTATGCATCCAAATTTCAGCGTTATCCTATAATCCGGAAAGTGTCATAATATACTCTTTAAAAATTTGAAAACATATACTCGCACTAATTTTAGTCGGCCACTTCACAGCGTCAAATTTTACCCCAGCACTGTAGTGTTAATAATTAGTCTATAACGAGATGTTCACACTTCACGCTCCGTTTGGATGGTATGATTTTTAGATGGTTTGTTTTAAAACCTTACCATAACTCATAATAGTTGTTTAAAAAAAATGCTGACATTTGTCCAAAAATACTCAAACATCCTCTATTTTTCACCGATATCCTATGTAATGCACTTTCATTTTGGTGTTTTTCAATAACTTAAGTGGTTTTTAGATTATCACTGTAGATGGTATTTTGCACAAATTTTTTTGTTTCTTTAAATAAGGCCGAAAACAGGACACCGGAATAGAGCCTCAGATATCTATAACAAGTACTTCGAGCAGTTCAAGTTGCTTGTGCAGGTTCAGTTCTGCGCCATACAGATTAGATTAATGCTTGACCCATGTTTAGCTTACTTGAGATAACTGACACCTGGTGGAAGGAATATTCATTTTGCATAGCATTTGTAAAAATTTCGAACCTACTTCCACGCTAATTCAATCAAACTCCTGTTCCCTTGAAGTGATCAAACAGATTCAAGCAATCATGAGCTCGATTGAACTATAAATCATGCCTGACGAACTTCACTCTCCCGTTCAATGTGATTGATAGTGCCATAAACTTTTGACAGAAAGACAGATGAGGCTAATGCCTGAAACAATATAGAAACAGAATTACTGAGGTAAAAATTCTAAGGCGTATTTTATATAATTAATATATAAAAGGGCTCGCAACTGATATAACATCTTTCACAGAAAATCTGAGGCTATAAAAGTTTCCAAAATGACTAACATAATGATTCAGGCAGATCTTCTGAAAAAAAAAAAAAGCCCGTTTGTGCCTGGAAATCGGAGAGCTCAATCTTGGGATCAGAACCATTATGCAGCACTGCAAGTTCAAACAAATGTTAGGAACCTATTTCAACCCAAGGCAAACCAAGCCCCTCTTCATTGCAACCAACAATCATTTCCAGTATCACACCTACCAACTCATTTCACCCTTCTCCTTTCTCTGTCTCTTTCCCTGCTTTTTTCTCTGTCATGATCATCCCTCTCCCTGCTTCCACTTTTTTCGCGGTCCCTTTCACGATCCCTTCCCCTTTCACTTTCTAAACCATGTCTTTCCCTTTCTCGACGTCTCTCTCTTTCTCTGTTAATTTCACTGTCCCTATCCCTGTCTTTCATAGATGATTTTCGTGGAGGACTATTACTTCGACTTCGGCTGCGGCGACGCTTCCTTACAGGTTCATGCAAATTATCTCTCTTGTCTTTTCTCTCCAAAGATGACCTCCCTACATGTTCATGCATTTATGTGGAGAGAGAAGATATTAGAAAAAGCAGCAAGGTCCAATCAGAGGACAAAGGGCAGAGAGCTAGGAAAGTACAATTAATCCACGATCAGTATTCTCTGTCTAGAAATCCAGTTTTTAGGAATCCAAAAATGCATACATAAAGAAGACAATCATCTTGTAATCAGCCACACCAAACAAGATTTTACCTTCTGTCAAAACATTATCTAGGCATATATAATACAACACAATCAATGTGTTAGGAATCATATTTTTCAAAATTCTTACATAATAAAAGATCATACAGAGTGATTGTTATATATAAAATGAAAGTACTAACTCAGGTGTCATTAGAGCATTTTGTATCAACGTTGTTAAAGATTATTTTATATATAAAATGGAAGCACCAACTCGGGTGTGTCATTGAAGCATTTTGCTTCAATATTGTTAAGGATTATTTTAGATAATCTGGAGCAATAGCACAAACAATGAATTGAGTTGTAATCATACTGGAATTCTAGAGCTTGGGAAAATACAAGGACCCTAATTGTGCTGTATTATCTTTGCTACCTATCTTGACAAGTTATAGAGTTCCCTCTTTCCTTCTTGTTTCCTCATAAATGAACTGGCATTTGCCACTGAATGAAAAAAAATTAAGATAAAAAAGAGAGCAGAAGCTGATGATGCAGCTGCATGCCGGAAGTTTGAGAATAAACTAAGGGATCACTTCCAAGCAAGTTCTGGTCTAAAGGACTCTGTCCATGGCAGTTCCAGGGACTAAAGATGGTTCAAGTGATACAGAATTAAACTCTCCGAGCTTAAGGACTTGATAGAATTTTAGGTCTCAAGGGGTACATTGGTCTTTTACTGGTCAGCAGGAATTCCCACCAAATGTGTCATTGAATCTTGTTTAGTTATATATGATTATATAAGGAAGCTGACTGGAGATAGAAATTCTAATAATTAGAATATCAGGATATTCTTAGCACTAGCACATATTAAACAATAAAAGTTGAGAGATAGATTGTAACCCCCCCCCCCCCGCGGGGCGCGGCGGGGCCTTTCCCTTCTTTGTTCTGCTAGCACCGGTTGGCAAGAACACCCCTATCTCCTCCAGCATCAAAAGCTCCCTTTAAAAGTCAAACATTGTTCTGATTACACCGGTAAATCCTTGAAATTATTGGAAAGGCCCCAGCAAAATAAAAAGCCAAAGATCCGGGTCTGTTTGGATTCAAGTTTTTCCCAAATCTTGTATTTGAAATACAACTCTACAGTAACACAACCCAAATACACTAAAAAAAATATATAATATAATATAAAATAAAAAATCACGATCTCTTTCTTCCTCCTCCACCCCTTGCCACCTACCCCCTGCCACCCTCCCTACCTCTTCTTCCCCCTTCTCTCCTCCCTCCCCCAGACCAACTCCTCTCCCCACTTCCTGATCCTCCTCCTGCCCCTCCTCCTCCCCTCCCTCCTCTCCCCCCCCCTACCACCCTCCCGCCTCCCCCCATTTCACCCCAACCCCTTCCCTCCCTCCTGGCAACCACATCTGGTCCAGATTGGACAGGGGAGGGTAGGCTGGTGCCCCAGCAAAGAAGGTGGAAAAAGGGGGAAAATGAGGGGGAGGGAGTAGGGGTGGGTCAAGGGGGAAGGACAGAGGGGGTACCGGTGTGGGTGTGGTTAGAGGGAGAAATGGGAGGAGAGGAGAGAGAAGGTGGGGGTGGCTGCTGGTGGTGGGTGGCAGTAATGGTGGTGGTGGGGGAGGGGGGAAGAGGGGTGTTTTGGGAAACTAGTGTCTTGAACATGTACCAAGATTTTTCCGAAGACAATAACACTAAGCTACAATAATGTTTTAGATAAAACCCTATAAAACACACCAACCAAAGGGACACTTAAAATGTTTACCCTATTTATTTTTCATCTTAAACCTCCACATCTACAAACCATCATGACAACTAACTTCCACAATTTGAGAGTGCCAGCAGATGTATACTTTCTCGAAATTTTTTGCATTTCTTTTTCCCTCCTGGTGGGCTGTGTTCATAACAGCTCATTGATAAGTTAAAAAAGAGAGACAAGAAAGAGTTTCTTAAAGCATGTTCACATGTAATATATTTGGCATACGTTCAAAATAATATACTCATTGAAGTTGATCTAATCTTGAGCCTCATGCTGCATTCAAATCTGAGCAACTCTTTAATCTATCAGAATGCAATCAATCATCCTTTAGCATAGTTCATATGTGCACATTCAATTGATTCTACAAGACCATACCATAGGATTCACTTGTAACCTAACTATAAGAATGCATGTGTCATTTGGTATGCAGACAATTTCATCTGTTTACAGGACAAATTGTAATTTCTCCTGTTCATAGAGCTGCACACACAGAAATTAGATTAAAAGATCAAATAAAGCTTCAATCAAAGAAATCATTCAATGCTTAAAACTCCCTACAAGATTAAGCCATAGGGATTTTTTACTAGCAATTGTAAATACACAGTTGTGCATAACACATGAAGTGGTGAATGGATATTGTCATCAGACAGGCTGAACTGAAAAAGCACTAATTCTTCTAAATACTCAGCAGGAACAAAGTTGTCAAAAAGCTACTTACTTCTTCCAGAAGCATCTTCATTCATATCCAACAATCCACAATCAGATAGTAATCGTCTTCGACGGCTTTCAACTTCTCTCTCAATTTCTTCTGAACTTTTTGTGCCTTGCTCTTCCAAATATTCACGATATTTTATGAGTTCAACTTCCACCCGCCTCAGCTTTTGTCTACAAATTATAAAATAGTAAAGTACCACATCAGCATATATCATCTGCAACCCTAGAGGAATTAAAATGTGAACCATACTGTCTTTGGGGCATCCAAAAGAACATCTAATTAAAAGGTATTTCAGAAACTATATGATAGTAGCTTAAAGGAGTGACCTCTGCTCTTCATTCAAGCCACTTTCAGAATGTGATGAATTGCTCACATCAGTTGTAAAATCGGGCTCCTCATTCTTATCAAGTCCATCAGCAGCATTTTCGCTTCCCGAGGAAGAATAGGTCAATCCCAGATCCCTAGCACTTCCGTTTTGCTCATCATCACTCTCATCATCCTCTCTGGCCCACTTCGAGGCAGGCAAAATGGAATCATTTTTCCCTTCATTAGTATAGGAACTTAGTTCATGTCCAACAGGATTTGTTGGGAGCAAAGGCACTGCTCCTTTTCCTTTCAACTGCATCTCATCCTCATGACTATTCCATCCCGAGAATCCCATTGGATCTGTATCAACAGATTTCTCTTTCTTGCCACTAGGATATCTAGCTGAACTTGACTGACTTTGTTGATACTTCAACTCATCATCAACTTCATAGACTCGTTGTCTTTCTGCCTCTTCCAGATAAAGTAACCGTGCAACCATCATTTCTCTGCCACCTACAAGAGATAACCCATTGTGCCTACATCGTCGTTCAAGCTCACTAAGTGGAAGGTTCAAGAGCTCCTTCATTGCAGCTCCTTTCCCAATTGCCAAAGCCGCATCTTGGTTAATCTTTTCACCTTCCCCACGGTCATCTGAGCCAGTATTCTGTTCTAGCTCAGGGGCATCACCACATATAGAATGAAATGGAGTCACACCAGAATTTCCTGATCGAAGGAAAGTAGCTCTTAATCCATTCACATATGCATCAGAAAACAGAAACCAATCAGCCCATACTTGAAGAACTTTCAGTACTCGCTCCTGCAGAATGTCAATGAAAAGTGTGAACAAAACAAGTAGCCAGTAATATTCTGTCATACATAGCAGCCACTATCTTTTAACACATAAGTCTTACCTTAAGTGCCTCAGCCGTGATTCTCCCCGTTACAGAACGATACAAGTCATTGAAGCTTTCCATTATGTCAGGCAAAGTTGCCTCAAATTTGGTGCGATAAGCAGAGGCGTTTTTCACCGGGGCACTACTATTGTGAAGGATATCTGAGACAAGCATAAGCCTTGCAACTTTTGTTGGTATGGGTGTTTCTTTAAGAGTCAGTGACTCAGTTAAAACTTCAACAACCTGCAGACGAGTTCCACACAAATAAATTTGATAAAAGTCCACCATACGTCCTCCAAGGGCCAAGGGAAATAAAAAGCTTAAAAATTCTATATGTTCTCGGCTTTCCAAGACGAAAATATTTCACTTCTCATTCTCAGAAATGCATGCTTGAGCTTAATAGAAGTTTAAGTTCAAGTATTGCAGAACCATCATCTGGAAGAGTGGAACTCAATTTGAAAGTCACACTCAAAAAACAAAAAAAAAAAAGCTTCATCACAAGGTTCAAGTTCCTTGCGTTGATTAATATATGTTCAATGGGATCACTGGGAATACCTCTCCAGCAGCATCAGCATTATCTAGAGCGAAACCCATTGCTTCCTTTATTTGACTCCTTTCCAAAGTCAATGCACGCAGCATATCCTCAAACTCATCTCTCTGTGCATCAGTTAGTGTTCTTTCCACCTCTACACGCTGTAAAAGTCAGTAGTAAACAATTTAAGAAAGATTTATTTATAATTATGCTAGAATGATTTTTCAATTAAAATCCCACATTAAAAACGCACCCTGCTTTTCCCAGCAGCATATGTACTTCCGCCATCCTTTTCATGTTCTGGGCCTTTTACAGTAGGAAGAGAAGGTGGTATCCACCTGCAAGAAAATGAACTGGTGTGCTAAGGTTCCATAGATTTCAGAAAACCCAACACCATAAGCAAGACTTTTTAATATATAATAGAAAAAGTTACAATCTCCGGTCTGTTTGAATCCATTGTTTCTTAAAAGACAAGATTTTAGACACAAAATTGCGATAACACCATAAAAAGCAACCAAGAACACACCAAAAAACAACCCAAAAACACCCAAAAAAAAGACAGTGGGATTCTACCATATTATCACCCCTTCTCCATCCACTGCCACCTCCCACTTCCCCATACCCCTACCCCTCCAACCAACCCTCCCCCAGCTGGAGCCTCCCTCCCCCTAATGATCTGGAAGGGAGGGGCTAGGGGTAGGAGAGTGGCTGAAGGGAGGAGGGGAGGGAGGCTGCAGTGGTGGTGGTCAAAAGATGGGGCAGGGTGGTGGATTGGGAGGAGAGGAGGGGAAGAAGGAGAGGGTCAAAAGGGTCAACACCTCAAAAAGCACTCATCCAAAAAGCTTTTGATAAACTTTTTCTACAGCAAAGTTTTCAAGAACACCCTAAAGAACACCTATCTAAACAGACCCTAGTTTAAGAGCTTAAGCAGCAAACCTCTCGAAGATTAAATGCAACACAAGCTGAAAATTCATTTTTTCTTCAATAGAAGTAGTTCAATATCATAGAAAACAAGACAAAGCCTTCAACCCATAGAGCAATTTGGAGAAGTGTACCAAAAGCAGATGAAGAAAGGCACACACCTGCCACTACCAGTAATCATAATGAAGGGTTCTGTTCGCCATCGTTGCAAAGTATCCCCCTAATTGAAAACAAGCAAGCAAGAATCTTCAGTAATTCCTTGGGATCCATCATGGTAACACGAGAGAAAATTTAAATTTCAACAGCCAGGATGGCAAATATCATGTCTTCCCTGTCCTGAAAACATCCCAGACTCTTGCTATGTTCTGCCAGCAAATATGGAATGGGATAGACAGCTAAAAAGACAAAATTAAGTTCTCAAGGTTGCAGCATAGTCTTTCAGGCCATAACTAGATGGATCAATCTTCCCAAAAATTAAGTAAAAGGAAGTTTACACAAGAGACCTAGGTGCATGAGACATTGTACAGAAAGATGATTTCCTATTACTCAACAAGCGCATTTACATATGAGTCTGCCCAGAAAAGGTCAAACTTGTTCCACCATGTTCTATGGCATGTGTTAGAAAAATTAAGTATTTATTGTGTTTAGCTATATTATTTACAATCTTTACAGTGTTAATCGATTTTTATAGATAAAAAACAACAACTAAATAGTTGCCATTGTCTCCCCTTTTGACTATGACACGTCAAAGACGGTAAGCCAAGAACCAGTTTAATTGATCAGTTGACGTCTAAAAGTTTAGCTCATAATTGACAGATTATTATTTTTGAAAAAAAAAATGTCTCAATATGTTTCCCCTTTTACATTTATGACTATGTCAAAGCAATGGAGCCCAATTTCCATGATTGGTTGATGTCCACTAGTTTACCTTGCTCATTTGATTGATTATCGAAGAAAAATATGATGCATTACTTATCTGTAATAAGTAGATCAAAATTTGCACACGTCAAACCATATATTAGAAGGGCTGTTGAACGGTTTAAATTATTGGATCACTCATCGTGCCAACTAGATGCATGTAGTCAATGGATATGGGTCATATGGACCACCACACTTTTAACATGTCTAACACAATGATACATGTTATTAAACCAAAATGACTTGTGCTAAAAGTTTAAAGCGTAATCCATCACTGACACAATCGCATATGAGTAGCATGACTACTTTGCTAATCTAAATTAGAATTCATGATTAGCTACTATTTTTTGTATCAAAAGCATGCCTAGATCATATGAATATCACGTAAGCAGGTCAGATTTACAACTTCAAAAGAATACCATATGTTAACATGCATAATCATGCATAATCATGACATACAAATTCATTTATCATTACTAAGTTTGTACAGCAACTGAGAAATCTCATTAAGCTCTATAATCATTGCATCCCATGTACCATAATCAAGGTATTCAGAGCATTAAATATACCTTTGATTTTCAACTACTATATCCTAGTTATATGTTGTGAGCAGCTTACGAAAAGCTATAACAAAAACAACACAACAGCTAAAAATACCAGCAACAAGAAACTCATGAAGATGGAATTGAAACCAACATCTATGTAAACAATTAAAACGATTCACCTGGGCGAAAGAATACAGCCTCCAGACATAATAAGTATGCTCCTGAGACCCAAGTTCAAACAAGAACCCAAATAGGGGATTTCCACGACCACGCTCCATTATTGCTTGTTCAAAAGCACAACCACCATCAAGAACATAGAGAGCCATGGTATCTATAACATGGCGAAGGTGATCATCCTCCGGTGGGATAACATTAATGTCAGGCACATTTGGTGTAAGAACCTGTAGAGTAAGTCAAATCATCAGTGATACATACAAATAGGAGATGACACATTTGCCTCCTGAAGTAATTTAACAGATCAATATGCTAAACATTTCATCAGTTCTTAAATAAAATCAGTATCAAATTTATCCACCAACGCATACATATATTAGGTTACGTATTATGCTAGACTAATACTCTTTAACTTATCTAAGAAGTTTAAAGACATCATGCTTACACAAAGCAAAGTCGAGTAGCTGTTTTCCTCGAGGAAGTAGAAACCATTACATGTTTATCCCGATAATAATAAAGGGTTAATCAGGGCAACCTCATACTAGCACTTAGGCTGCATGATAGAAATATGAAAATAAACTCAAATTTCTGCACTCATCAGAACAATATGAGCAGCTCAAAACCAATGGCAACTATAGCTTTAACATCATGGAAATGTTAAGTTACACTAATTCAACCAATAGGAGAGACAAACATTTAAAAATATCCCAGCTAAAATGAGCAACATTATTAACTGAAATGCTTAAAAATATAAAATTAAAGAGACTAAGAAGATGGATGAAGGTTCATGAAGACTAGACAATCAAGGATCAATAAAGAGTTGAACAAACCAAAAAACCAATAAAAAGTTAAGACGTGTTCCTGCTAGGATGGACAACATTAGTAACTGACATATTGAGGCACAATCAAACAAATAAAAGTATAGAAACTAACTAGATGGATGAAGGTTCACAAAGATTAAACATAGTAAAGATGATTTCAACAAACCAAAAAACCAAGCTACAATGGTGGATTATAAATATTCATGAAAATCATAGGTGTACAGATAAAAAAATTCAAGCTTGCGTCCCGTTAACAAAAGTTTGGCAACACCTTTATAAGTACCTTAAAATGGATTAAATAACAGTAGACTTCTAACTGTCAACAGCTGCATCAAGTATCAAGAATGAATTATGCCAGAAAAAACTGCTTTCACACTGAACAAATTGAATTCCACAACACAGTATACAAGAGACTCCAAAGAACCAGTTGCAATTTTTAACATTCCTTTGACAAGAAAATTTTCTCAGCCATAAGACCTACACCTTCTCTTTTACCATAAAATCACCTTTTCTCCACTTGATAACAAGCTTAATTTCCTTGCTTTCCAAATGAGGGGAAGAAAATCAGTAAATACTTACAAAAAAGGGACAAACAACAGAGTATTATGTTAACCTACCAACTCAGAATTTTGACTAGGCACTGTAGTAACTGGAGGACCTGAAGGGCCAGACAAGATAACAGTGGCACCCTGTAAAACATAGAAAATGCCATCTCAGCAACTGTTTTTCAGCCCGGCAAGAAAAGGAAATACTATGTTGTGCATAAACTGGGGAGGGATGGGAAACAAAGCCAAACCTCCTTACTCCTGATGGCCATTTGACCTGGAGGGGGAGCAGGAAGTGCTTGTGATGGAAGAGCCACAGATTTACCCCAGCCAATCTTTAACTCGTATTCATAAACTACCACACCTGAGCCATAAAGAGACGATTCAGTCTCTTTCTCTTCCTCTGAAAAAGGTATGAATAAACAGCATACTAGGCAGCTCATGCAAGAACTGAGTCCGGTAAATTGTGCAACAAAGTAAAAACTCAAGGTACATTAGAGTAAATTAGAATTTATCCCACTTGGAGTGGGTTGTTGGTTTTATACTCCAATTGTTGTAACATGAGAACCATTAACTTCTAACCTGAGGTCTATCAAATCAATCAGTAACAGAGGCAGCACAGAATTGGGGATCCCTAAAAGAAAATTTACATTTTAGGAAGATTGTGGAATGTGTAAATTATCCCAGGCAGAGTGGCGGCATTCCACCTGATTGTACCTCTTCACAGCCTAGTAGAAGCCTAGAATGAAATTTCACAATCATGGCAGCTCCGTATACAAGCTAGCTTAAGCTAACTAAATTTCTATTTTCTTCTCTAAACCCCACACCTGATTATTAAAAGGTTCTGCAAGGCACCCCAAACGCAGCTGGCAGTATAAATACATTTTATAAGTCAATTAACAAAAGTTGAATTCAACAAGATGCATGAAATTAATGGATGTTCACCTTCAAGAGCCATGAAACACTCGCAGTTATGTCCTCAATATTCACTTTACTTACTAGTCTATATTACTTAAATATGATGACCATGAGAATAAAAAGATTACATGAACAATAAACAAATATCCGTGCATAAATAATTGGCAAAACTATTAGCAAAACAACACAAATCTTTTTACATCCAGTTTTGGGTATTTGGACTCCAAAGGCAAGTTGCCTTTTTGGCAATCGAATACCACGACCAAATGGGTTATACAATGGACAACACCTTAACCAACCAAACCCTTTCATTTACATAGCCAGATATTCTACGTGTCAGGGTTTACAGTTTTAAACAGAATGGAAATGATCCTCGTCAATTAACCTCTTAAAAGAAGGTCTGAAATTGCGTACAAATTTCAAATGGCGAAAGTAAAAAAATGCTCTTCTGCAGAGCCAACTTCTTTAACAAGAGATGCAATATAAAGTAAAATTCGAAAAACATTATAAATAAACCAAGCAAACCTTGCATTTCATCCTTTGCAGCTTGTGCATCAAGCCTATTCATGAAAGCTACAAAACCACAGTTCCTTTGGCGTCTACGCTCCTCCTCTGTCCTAGGCCACATTATTTTCACACTGGCAATAGGTCCAAATCTTCCAAAAGTCCGCAAAAGGAAATTTTCATCAACCTAACATCATTAAGGATCATATTTTCTTTAAACAGTAGGATCACAAACCACCATACTAAAATTATAGTATCGAAAAAGCCAACTTGATAACAAAAAATTTACCTGAGGTGACAAATTTCCAACATAAAGATTTGTGGTCTGTGGGTCTCCATCATCAAATGATCCAGGCCTTCCACTTGGATCAAAGTCATCTGGCAGCTCATCGAACCGGCTAGATGGCTGTCAAAAGAATATTTGGGCTATGACTTGTTGATTTCTATTCCAAGCGAGACATTCTATACATGCACAATTAAATCCCAAAAAATCTCACAAGCAGAAAAGCTAATCAAATCAGTACCCCGCACCAACTCACAGACAAAAATGATTTTTACATAGCACATATCATGATAACCACCTCTGAGACATGGAGGCTTCCATAAATTTTTCAAAAAAACAAGCCTCACATTTTGTTTTCAACTGTCTTAACAAGTTGACATTATTTCTTCACGCCCAACTATTAAGAGGTTCTGAGACATTAACATATAACAGTTCATCTCCATCATCTTTGAAGTCAGATGGCATTCCACTGTTGCTCCCTCTTCAACACTGGCAGCAAAACATTCCATATTATCCATATTCAACTGTTCTACGAAACTCCTAACTCAAACTGTTTTACAAAATTGCGTGGATGATGACACCTGATAGATAAGATAAAAGCTTCTGATGCAAATCATCCATTGGATGTCGAATTACATAGGAAAACCATCAACAAAGGCAGTTTTCACATCCTTTCTTTATCCACAGTACTTTCAGCCTCTCTTCCCAAATAATTAATCAATTATATGCTGCTCATTGCCTCAGGACATGTCCTGGTTCTTTAAGTGGTAATTAAGTTATGTGATTTCATGAACAAGTGCTATTGAAAGAAGACAAAAGTTTCTGAAAGCTGTCGGACGCTCAAAAAGACTGCATCGGACGTCCGACAACCATTGAGTATTTTCGGACGCAGAAAACCAGCCTATCGGACGTCCGAAAGAATTGAAGAAAATTTGTTAAACTCTCTGCCTGCTGTCGGACGCATAAAACAGGGCTATCGGACGTCCGACACTGCCAACGGATAGTTGACTGTTCAGCTACTTTCTATCCATTGGAAGCATTTATGAGGCACTTTCTTGGTTCTATATAAATAGTGGTTGGTCAGATATTTCAAATAACTTTGGCACACTGAAAATACAAAAGATCTAGAGAGATTTTAGTGAGAAAATACTTTTCAAAGAAGATTTGTAGTTTAGTGGTGTGAGGTTTTTTGTAAGCTTTTCATTTGTGAGTGAATATTTCATGAGTGTAGCTCTGTGAGGGTTGTCCTGAGGGATAGTAAAACGTCCTGGCTTGACCGAGTGGAGTTCGGGCAAGGAAGAGGTGAACCTTCCTTTGTACACAAGAATGATTGTAATTCATCAACTTGAAGTAGTTTGTTTCAATTAATCTACAAGCTCAAGAGGAGTTGGGTAGTTAATTGATTTGCAATCCTTTCCTTTTTATTTACTGTTACATTTGTGATCTTTAAATTGTTTATCTCTTTCACTTGGTTGTCTTGGATCCTTACAATGCTTATACTATTCAACTGCACAACCTTTGATTTTGTCAACAGCTATACCTCTAGCATTTCTAGCTATTATTTTTGATACTTGTATCTTGTACTCCTCATACACTGTCTGCCTCAAAGAATGGACTGGAATGTTCTGTAAGAGCCCGGTGCAACCCAATGAGTACAAACAAATTCACAATGATGCACAAAGATATATCAAATTTAAGCACAATAAAGAAAACTTAATTAAAGAGAAAACATAAGAAATGCAAACCAAATATCAAACCAATAGTCTCTTCAATTGATGGCGATGCTAACCAAGATGTACAAGTGAAGGCTCACTCCTTCCTCACCCCAAATACTCTTTGGTTGAGCCAAGGAGTTTTACAACTATTCTAGTTAACCCTCAACAACCTACACTTGAAAGATCACTCACCCAATTAAGAACTATTTTATACAAATGAGGCAACCTTCACCAAGGTTTTACCACTCCAAGTGATTGGTTCACCTTCACCAAGGTTTTACTACTCCAAGAGAGTAACCTTCACTTGAGCAACCTCACAACCCAACTTCCCCAACCCCTTATACAACCAACAAAGAATCTTTCTACTCAAAAATCTCACTTGTAAGCTTGTATTTTGTGTTGGCAAAAGTCTCTAGTCTTCTTGTGCTTTGGGGTTTTTATAGAAGGTGAGAAATGGCTCCAAAAGACTCTCCAACGGTCAAATATTAATTGCTGTCAAAACTAGCCGTTGGCCTGTCGGACGTCCGACAGGTGCCTGTCAGACGTCCGAACCACCTGTCGGACGTCCGAACCCTGCGTCCGAACGTAGGTAGAGAGTCATCAAATCTTTGCGAAATTTCTCGGACGTCCGATGCGATCGATGTGCGTCCGAGGCGTGCGTCCGATCCTTCCGGACGTCCGATGCTTCCTCACGAGCGTCCGACAGAGTTTCCTTCTTGATGTTCTTCATCCTTTCGGACGTCCGATAGTTTCCTTTTGGCCGTCCGACATGAGTGACCTGATTTTGCTTCTTCATTTGGTTGGTTTTCTTTCCTTGACACCATTGAACCTGATTCTAACAAATTTCTCACATAAAAACATTAGACCAAATCTACATTTTGGTTTGTTAATCATCAAAACCAAGGATTGATCGACCAAAGTCAACATGTTCATATTGACCCTAATTCTGTCCTTGTATCACCCAGCAACCCATTTAGCAGTCACCATTTTATTTTTCCAGGCATGATTGCAGTTTTCATGTACATCATAAAGGGTCTTAATGACCAAATCATTCGACCCAAGTGCCTTCTCTTGAGAAGCATAACACTCCCAGTTGCATGGATCCTTGCACCTTATCCTTACTCTGAGTTCTTCATTAGTGTAGTACCAAACAGATCTACTATTAGCAATAGAATAATTCTAGATTGCGACCTTGAACTCAGTTGATGATGCAAATCGCATCCCAACCTGGAAATGTGGATTTCTCATGTCCTTTTCAACATTGAAGTCAACATATTATATTCCCTTCAGCACTTCATCATCTTCATCAGAAGAACCATCAGTGCTATGCAGGTCATCTTTCAACATGTTGTCATGCAACACATCTTTATCATCAGCTTCTTCCATTTCTTTAGCAACTGCCTGTGATGTATTCTGAGCAGCCTGTGAAGATGTGTTATGGTCAGCCTGTGCTGATGATGTCTTCTCCCCTCTTGCTGTCCACTTTCTTTTCCCTCTTGTTGTTTTTCTAGCATACTTTTTCTTGGCTCTCTTGCTACCACCAGATGCTCCATCAGTTGCCTGTGATTGTTTTTCAACTTGGGCATCATGTTGACCACCTCCATGTGGACCACTTTCCAAGCCATTTACATCCTAGCTCTCATGGAGTATAGATTCAATAGTTCTCCTCGTAATAGGAGGGGGAATTTCAACTGTGGGAGTTGGTCTTTCACTCCCAAGCATCTGATCATCTTTGCAAAAATCTTCGTCATCAGTGAAATGCTCCCCTTTCGAGCTACTGTCATCTTTATCATCTTCTTCAACTTCCCTTGCATTCACATCAGCTTTATCTCCCATACTCCCACTCTTTACACCAGTCCCACTAGTTTCTCCCTCAATGACAACACTTACTCTTACACCTTCACCTCTACTTGCACCTCCCATTGTTGGTCCAGGGGCAGTCATATTTGCACTAACAAAAGACCTACCAAAAAGATTTTTTCTAACGACCAATTATTGATCAAGTTCTACAACTCCACTGCCATGTTCATCTACAACTGCACTACTATGTCCATCAATTTCTTCAATTACAACCCTTGTTTTTTTTACTACCTAACAGTGGGGAATTTGACTGGATTTCAAGAATTTCATGTATTGACCTATGGTCACAGTAAACATCTATCAGTTTGTGCTCATACACCCATTTGAACATTACATTTATATTTGCATCTCCTTGTAACTCTCTTAATCCCTTATTCAAATCACTCCCATGTTCTAAGTAATATTAGAGCATTGAACCATGATGTCCTAATTCCTCAACCATGGCATTTATCTCATGGACAGACATTCTCTCTGCATTACACACATCAACATAATCTATTTCACCACCAACGTATGTTTTATACTGATGCCCACTAAATCTACCACAGTGAAACATTCTAATACTGAATAGCTTAGAATTACGCACTGCAATGAAATGGGAAAAAATGGAATCACTTCATTTGAAAAAACAAGGCTGAAAAAAACACTTGTTGATGTAATATAGTTCAAAATTTGCCACTTTTACAACTAACAGTTGGATGAAAACCTAACATTTAAACCCCATAATACTGCTACATATTCACAACCCACAAGTAAGCACCTTCGATATCAAAGACAAACTTATGTAGTACTCCACGATTTTCATCCATTTGAGTAGTACACCCATTACATTTAGGTTAAACTATAATTTTAGTTCATTTACATGATTTTTAACAAACAAAAAACTTAATGTAAATTTCATATGGATCAATGTCGATGTCTCTTCTCCTGATGATCCAATACATAGGTTCACCACGATTTTCCCTTCTCTTCGATCTTCATAACCCTAAGCTTGAGCTCCCAGATTATTTACAACAATTTTGAGAATGAAAGTTAGTTTAATTGGCTTGCACTTCTTTTTTTCTTTTCAGTTGATGGGTTTATGTAAATAAACGGTCAGTAAATTGCTGGACAAAATTGCCCTAGCGCTTTGTCACGTGTAATGCTAATTTCAGAAATTAAGAGCAATTACTGACGAAATGGTCTACGGTTTACTGATTAAGTTGTTTAATAGCCAATTATTGACGAAAAATAGTTCAATGACCAAAGCATGATCCAGACAATAGTTTAGTAGCCGCTGGGGTTTTTCGCCCTCTAAAGAATTCACCAAATTTTGATCCATTCAAAATGGTAAAGTCCATTCTGAACGGTAAAGTCCAATCAGAATTAAAGAGTATTCCTCTTGTCTTCCATCATCGCCAAAATTTCTACAGTGTCTCAAAAGTTCAGATCTGACTTTTTCATCGAACAAGGCCTTCATTTCCTGTTTAAATGAGCTCTTCCTTCATGAACCCTCTCACTCTGCTGCCTCTCATCTCTTCCGTCTTCCCCTCGCCAACGAAACAGTTC